GGAGGCCCTCCCGCCCCCCCCCTTCTTCCTGCCCCCACCCTGATTTCTTTCCCTCTTGAACTTTCTCTTTCGCATTCTTTCTCGGCCCCAAGCCGGGCTGACATATTTCTAAATTGAGAACACCTTCCCCTCCAGAAAGCACCCTCCAAGTCTTACAACTGTTACTGAGATGGGAGCGGGAGGCAGCCTCCACAGAGAACAGCCCTCGGTTGGGGCATCGTCTGGGGGGGAATGGAAAGGGCAGTGACCCACGTGCTGGCTGTGCAAGTTGGGGATCCTACCGGGGAAAATGTTACCGTGTGCATAGTCGGCCCCCAGTGGGGCAGTCTGCCTTCCCCCTGCCGCCCCCTCACACATCCAGCTGCTGTCATTCCTGCTCACTGAGCTCTTCTTTCTTATCCTGATCCCTGGAGGCTTCAAAGCCAAAATTAACGTAATAGCAAAGAGTGAATCCCCAAGGAGACCTTTGCCCACGTGGGAGGGCCCATACTGGAAGGACTTGAGAGCAGCTTTTGGGAGGACGTGGGCTGTGAAGGAGTGAGGGCAGGGTGAGCCACGAGCCTGGGTGAGGGTCTCGCACAGTCTGCAAAGGGTCCCAACATGAAAGGCTGGAGCCCAGCAGAGCCCTGGGGAACAGGGGTGGAGGTGGGCACACTTACATGTTGATGCATCTGCACACAGGAACTCATGGCTATAGCTTTGGGAAGGAGAATAGGAAATAGTAGAAGGTGGAAATGGCTGAAGAGAGGAGCATTTGCCTCATTTGCAGCATGAGAAACACGGGACAAGAATCCTATCTTACTGGGGTTCTCAGAAGACTGCAGGACCATTTCAGGATAAGGAGGGATGATTAGAAAGCGATGACCCAAATAGAGAAGAGAAGTAAGCCTCACCTCATTCCTCAACTGGGATCTGGGTGGTACCCCCGGAGCAGTCCATTTTTCAAAGCCCAGAAAATTAGGGTCCCAGAAGGGGACAGCACCAGGCTGTGGAGAGCTGGGAGCTATGGGGTGAGGCGGGTGGGGAGGGAGGGCAGACTAGAAAGAGAGCAGAGTGCTAATGGCCAGGCCACCAAACAGAGCCGGAGGGGAAGTGAGGAGGGTATAATGACTGTGTATGGAGCAACCCAGCCTTGCCTGACTCCCGGCAGATTCTTCTCAAGATCCTTCCCTAGAAATAGTATAAGAGCAGCAGGACTCGCCAAGACCTCCTTGCCCGTTTGGGTTCCTCTCCTGAATCTGTGGGGGTGAGAGGGTCCTTGCTTCCAGGTTCTCCTCAGGATACTAAAGTCCCAGTAAAGGGATTGTCAGAAGCAAGGACAACTTCCCAACCCCTGCAAGTCACTTGTGGCATGGCTCACAAGTTCCCTTAAGAAGAGGCCAGAAGCCTTGGCCGGTTTGGCTCAGCGGATAGAGCATTGGCCTGCGGACTGAAGGGTCCCGGGTTCGATTCGGGTCAAGGGCACATGCCTTGGTTGCAGGTTCCTCCCCAGCCAGGTCCCTGGTCGGGGCTTGTGCAGGAGGCAACAAATCAATGTGATTCTCTCACATTTATGTTTCTCTGTCTTTCAGTCTCTCTTCCACTCTCTCTAAAAATCAATGGGAAAATATCCTCAGGTGAGGATTAACAAAGAAGAGGCTGAAGGATTCCTCCTCCAGGCCTTATCTTCCCTGCTCTGCTTTTTAGAATCGCAGCTAATTGCTTTAAGGGGTGGAGGGAGGGAGGGAGCCTGGGGACAAACCTTTTTTACAATACAAAGCTTTGCTTCCCCCTCCCCTTTTCTTGGATCCCTTCTCTCTTGGGAATGCTGGAGACAGGTCAGCTGAGGGAGGATGGGGGTTGGGACAAGGTTCCCAGGTGCTGAGGGCCGAAGGGGCCTGGGTTGTGGGCAGACGCAGTTTCCTGCTGGCTCTGGGGAGTCTCTCATGTTGCTGTGTCCTGGTGAGCAGCCCGACCAATAAACCTGCTTTTCTAAAAGGATCTGTGTTGGACTGTATTCTCCAAAGGCAGTTATATAGAATGAGTTACCGAGGACAGGAGGGAACCATGCATGGAGGGAGGGAAAAAGAGAAGACTGTTGGTTTAAACTTGCCTGACTTGCCTGAGGTGTGTGTGTGGGGGTCATTATTATCACCCCCATTTTAGAGATGAAGTAACAGAATGACTTGTCTAAGGTCACATAGCTGATAAGTGGTGGAGCTGGAATTGGAAGCCAGGCATCCTGGCTCCACAGTCTAGCTGTTATAGTCTGTAACCCAGTCTGGATCCACTTTCCAGCTGTCAGGGCACTAGCCCTCCAGACATGCCCAGTTAGCCTGAGCTTCCCCCACATACACACTTCAGAGGTCATAGGCCTAGAGGAGGCAGTTTCAGCGAGGGGAGAAATCAGAGGCCCTGACTCAGAGGGCTGAATGTCATAAAGAAAGGATTCCAACTGGGCCGGTGTGGCTCAGTGGTTGCGAGTTAACCCATGAACCAGGAGGTCATGATTTGATTCCTGGTCAGAGCATGCCTGGGTTTCACGCTTCATCCCCGGGGCGTGGGGGTGTGCAGGAGGCAGCCAATCAATGATTCTCATCATTGATGTTTCTATCTCTTGCCCTCTCCCTTTTCCTCTCTGAATCAATAAAAATATATTAAATATATATATTTTTAAAAAAGAAAAGAAAAAAAACCCCACAGGATTCCAGTGCATGTTATATGCCAGGTTATATGCCAGTCATAGCTACACAGCATAGTTAATTCTCCCCATAACCTTGGAATGAGCACCTATTTTGTTGTCTGTGCATCCTCTCTTCCCTGTGAGCAGCCTGCCCCACCTTCCCACAGGTTATGGGTTCAAATCATTACGTGGGTTCTGCTGGCATTAGAATTACCTGGGAAGGAGTGTCCCTAATAAATGTCGTTTCTGAAGTTCTATCTCAGCCTCCTGCCACTACTTCAAACAAGCTGAATCTTTCCTAATGAGACATTCTTTTTTTTTTTTTATTGTTTAAAGTATTACATATGTCTCCTTTCCTCCTCATTGGCCTCCCCGCCACTCCCACCCTCAAGGGCAAGCCCCCACCATCCCAGTGTCTGTGTCCATTGGTTATGCTAATATGCATGCGTACAAGTCCTTTGGTTGATTTCTAATCCCCATCCCCCAGCCATTCTTTCTCTTTCAACTCCATGGCCCTCAACCCCTGAGTCCAGAGTTCTATTTCCCTCAGAAAGGTTGGTTTCCCACCAAGAGAAATAGAAACTGATACTGAAAATTCAGAGACTGGGGCCAGGATACTTCCTTCTGATTATATTTGAACTAGAGGCCCGGTGCATGAAATTCTTGCACTGGGGCGGGGGACTGGATTTCAAGAGGGCACAGGCCAGGCCGAGAGACCCCACCAGTACACGATTGGGCCGGGGAGGGATGCGGGAGGTTGACCAGCCAGGAAGGGACCGCGGGAGGGTTCTAGGGCATGTCCGGCCAGTCTCAGTCCTGATCGGCCAGACCCCAGCGGCAAGCTAACCTACCAGTGGGAGCATCTGCCCCCAGTGGTCAGTGCACATCATAGCGAGCAGTTGAGCAGCCTTAGCATATCATTAGCATATTATGCTTTGATTTGTTGAATGGACAACCAGATGACCAGACACTTAGCATATTAGGCTTTTATTATATAGGATACTCCAGTATATAAAACATACTTTACAGTTTAAATGCCTTCCTTTCACCAAAGGGTTAACTCTTGGCATGGCTCACAAGTTCCTTTAATAGTCTTGTCCCTGCTCCAGTTGTTACTGTTCTTAACATGCTCTTTAGGAGCCTAGTGGTCCAAAGTGGGTCACAAACTTTAAGGCCTATGGGCCTTTGTTCAGGCTGTTCCCTTTCTCTGGAATTGCCTCCCCCTTTCCACCTCCCCTCTTAAACCAATCTCTTTCCCACCTCCACCCGACTCATACTAATCACCTCCTTCCCAGGGCTCCCATAGACCTTTATGTCAATAAACACTCACCTCAAACTGGCTTCAGGAGAAACAAAACAAACAAAAAACACACAACCAAAACTAAAAACAATCAGACAGGGAATTAATCTAAGTGAAAACTTCCCAGCCCAGCCAGTGTGGCTCAGCTGGTTGAGCATCGTCCCGTGAACCCGGAGGTTGCCAGTTTAATTCCCAGTCAGGGCACATGCCCAGGTTGCAAGCTTGATCCCCAATAGGGTGTGCAAGAGGCAGCCAGTTGAGCCACACTGGCCAGGCACCAGTTGATGTTTCTTTCTCTGCCTCTCTCATCCTCTCTCTGAAACCAAAAAAAATACATTGGGAAATAATAGGTCCAGGGGAGTCTGGATGCAAGTTCTAATGTAAAATCATTTGAAATTTTCTCTTTTCCTATCTTCTCTTTTCCACTGTGTTTGTTTCATTAATAATTATACTTTTCTTATGCCGGCAGTGTTGGCAAAGATGACCATCAGTAGCTGCAGGCTTATGGCTTAACAGCTGAACAAACCCAGTTAAGATGTTTGTTGGCAAAGATGACCATCAGTAGCTGCAGGGTTATGGCTTAACAGCTGAACAAACCCAGTTAAGATGTTTTCTTCCCAAATCT